GAGTGGCATGAAACAGCTTGAAAGATCAAAGACAATTTTTAATATAACTCCGACTGGATTCGTCTGAAAGAAGAAAGTCATATATACCTAGGATGACTTGAGGGTGAGTAATTTATGGGCTAATTTTCATTTTTGGGTGAACTAACCCTTTAAGTAAAAAAAAAAAAAAAAATAGAAGCTTGTTATCTGGGATTGGGGTTTGGCTTTGCTAAAGACCTGCTGTTAACCACCAAACCAACAGGTCTTTCACAAGTTTTGGTGACATTTTTTGAAGAAAATTCAAGCCTCTATTCTCTTGCTTTATTAATTAATTAATTAATTAATTAATTAATTAAATAATTAATTATCTCTCGTGCCACTGAATCGCCAAGCTATTGCTTGTACTTAGAAGTAAAAACGTATGAACATAAGCTAGGTTAAAAAGGAGAGATTCACAACAGTGGTATTTGAACCCACACTTGTGATGCACATTCTTTTGTCACAGACCCACCATTAACCACCACACCAACTGGTCTTTCATAACATTTAGTGAAATTTTTTGGGTGAAAATTCAAGCCTCTATGCTTTGCTTTATATAATGGAAACTTTAAATATTGTAGGATTTGAACCGAGACATTTTCGTTGGAAGGCAAACAATTATCTTTGTGCCACTGAATCACCAAGCTGTTGGTTGTACTTGTAGTAGTACATGTGTAGGAATTTTGTCTAAATGAAAAAGAAAAGCTTTACAACTGTGGGATTTGAACCCACACTTGTGTTGTGGTTTTGTTTGTCAAAGACCCACTGTTAACCATCACACCAGCTGGCCTTTCACAGGCAAGTAAGCAAGCGAAATAATACAATTTTAATTTTTTTGAAAACAGAAGCATCTATGTTTTGTTTTATATAAAAGAAACGTTAAAAGTTACAGAATTTGACGCAAGCCTTTAATGTTGGAAGGCAAACGATTACCCTTTACACCACTGGATCGCTCAGTTGTTCTTGTATGTATGAACTTAGGCTAGGGTAATAAAAAAATTAAATAAAATTACAAAAGCTGATTTGTGGGGTTTGAATCTGTGCTTGTGTTGTAGTTTTCTTTGTCAAGGACCTGCTGTTAACCACCACTCCAACTGGTCTTTTATGGAAACTTGTGACTTTTTTTGGGAGAAAACTCTGTGCTTTATATAAAGAAACCTTTAAATGTTATGGGATTTGAACCAAGACATTCAGGTTGGAAGGCAAACAATTGTCCTGTGTGCTACTGAATCATTGAATAGTGGCATCTACTTGTACAAATATATGTGTATGAACTTAGGCTAGGTTAAAATAAAAGATTGTTACCTGTTGGATTTTAAACCACGCTTGTGTTGTGGTTTTGTTTGTCAACATCCTGCTGTTAACCACCACACCAGCTGAACTTCCTCAAAAAAAACAAAAAAAAACATTGGGATAAAACCAGAAGCCTGTATGATTTGTTTTATATAAAAGATACTTTAAAAGTTACAGAATTTGAAAGAAGCCTTTAAAATTGAAAGGCAAACAATTACCCTTGGCGTCAGTGAATCGTTCAGCAGGTAGTTGTACTTGTATATGTGAATGAACATAGGCTAGGGAAAAAAGCTAATCTGCTAGATTTGAATCTATGCTTGTGCAAATACTGTATATTGTTTGACAAAGACCTGCTGTTAACCACCACACCAACTGGTCTCTCATAAAGAGCTACGGTAGTTTCAGGATGTGATGTTTAATATGAAAACATAATGAAAATAATGAATGAGTTGAACTAGTCTAAAATTCCCATTCTAGCTGAGTCTGAAGATGAGATAAACTAAACTTTGTTCTACCTGGTACAAAGGTCATGTCTTACCACAGTATATGAAATATGAGTGGCAGAACTCTGAAAACAACATTTAATAACATAAAATAAATGCATATAAAAATAAGTCAGTGTGTTTGTGTTCTGATGGGTGTCGGCACCTAAATCTCTGTCATCTCAAAGACAAGGATCTTCTAACTGACCCTCACTTCACAACACCATATTTTGAATTTTAAAGATTAAACTGAACTTTCAAGAGTGCCACCTTGAGATGCAAATGTAATAATTCATTAAGCTGTTTAAATTCAGCATTATCCTTAATTTTTCACATACAAACACAATGATGGTGAACACAGTAACACATTAATTAATGGTTAACCTCACGTGACAACACAAAGGCAACAACAACTTCAGTGCAAATAATGCAGTAAAGAGTAAAAACATTGAACAATGAGGTAGTAATTTGCATGATTTATTCGTACTCTAGTGCATTCTGGGAAACAGTCCAACATTAGGAAATTAGTGCTGTAAAAAGTCTAACCTACCCTTTGGCAGCAGCAAACGAGACTTGACTATTCCATAAATTCAGCTGCAAAACAGCTCTCTTCAGGTGTATTACTTGGTCAAGGGCAACCAAAAACAGTCCCATCATGTGTTTGACCTGTGCATTGCCCACTGGGGGAGAAGAGATCAGAGAATTTACTGGCCAATGTCTAAATAAATGAACCCCTCTAACAAACATCTTGATTTTAACACCTTGTTTGCAAATGCTTAAAACAAATGTTCTTCCAAACCTTGATTCAGGATTGGAGCCAGCAAGCCCAGTAGCATGTATGTCATAGCTAGGACTCCAACCCAAACGTTTTGTGTTTAAAGACCATAGTGCTCCATACTGAGCTACCAGCACATTAAACTATTTCTGCTAAAGTCTTATGGCATGAGTAAAAGCATAATTTCCAAGCCCCATGTCTGTCTGACTGAATAACAGTATGGGGTGTAAAACCTTCAAACTTCAAGCTTCTAAAATCATTAACTTTCAAACAAGGCATTGTCTAATTAATTTCAAAGTTTGTCTTGACAAACTTTACCTATTTTGTTGAATGAGTGGTTTGTCTTCAGGCCTTGCTGAAGTTGATAGT